CATTTATGCCCTTTGTCCAAGTCTTTGTGCCAGAAAGTCGACGTTGGCATGGACTGGGCTTCAAAATTCACCACCTCCCTACTCTATGTATCGTAGGTCATCTCGAAGAAGTGTCCGTGCAAAGCATCGAGCATGGCACAAAAGAATAATTGAACTTAATGTGTCTCAGTGACCCCATGGCCAGCGACGGCAACCAACTCGTCCACAACTCCCTTGAGTGCCCTGACACTCTTCCACTGACGAGAGTGGATGGTTTGCAGCTTGTCAGAGGACCTAAGCCCCCGAGTGGCGTCTGCAAAGAGTTCGCGAAGCAACTTAAAAAATTCATTGCGGGGGAAGATGATGGGATCGGCGACCATGCCATTCTCGCACTTAGAGGCACGGCGAGTGATCTGGCGAAGCTTGCTGCTTCATCCTTGAGGGCATGGAAGGCGATAAGAACTTGCTCCTCAAGCAAGATCTTCTAGAGGTGAACACAGGAATTGATGTTCGCCTTCCAGTTGTCAAAGTTTTCCCCTTTCTTCCCACTATAGGAGTCAGGGAACTTCACTTTGATTGGCTCTCTCTGCGCGGACGGGCTTCTTCTTCCTTCGGGGCTGACAACTTGGCGCCCTCTATGCCGCTGGTGCAAAATCGCTCTGTATTCTCTATCCTCGCCTTCATTTTGGTGCCCACATGCATCATCATCTCCCGTGCAAAATCTCTAAAGCCCGGGCGTATGGACTGTAATGCTATATCCTGGCCCCTCACAAACTGAAATTGTTCTTGCCGAGCCTTCGCCAGGAGTTCTACGTTCCTGGCCATAACCTCCATTTTTCCTTGTAGGTCCGCCTGGTTTTCCATCTCCTTTCTCTGCTCATTTACCACCCTCAACTCCTTCTCCACCTTATATGCTGCCTTCAACTATTGCCTCTTCTCTCTTGTGAGGTGCAGCTTCCACTCCAACTCCTTTTCTTCCTCTATTGTCTGGCGGCGTAGAGGATTTTCCTCTGCCTCCAGCTCCCTTATCACTGCCTCCTGTTCTGCCCTGGGGGCATACAACATTGCCTCTTCTTCTTCTCCAGGGACAGATTGGGTTGAGACTTTCTTCTCCATCCGCTGATCTTCTTTCTTCGTGCCACTTGATTCCCCTCTTTCCCTTCTGGCTTTTCTTTTCAAGAGGACTTCCTCCTCAACTTCTTCTTCCTCTTCTTCTACTACCTTTAACATCTGCGCTTCTTCTTTCTTTAACCTCTCCATCTCCTCTTCCAACTTCTTCTTCTTCGCCGCCGGCTCCTCCATAAGGCCAACTTCTTGGCCTACTTAATCAACTCCTCCTTAGCCTCTTTCTCTTTCTCTCTTTTAACAAGGCGGCGACTTGCTCTTCCTGAGCCTTAGTGTACGGGGTGATGCTCGTACCGCTACGCAGGTCAACCATGGTGAAAGGTGCACAACTAAGCGACAATTCCACTCCTCACCACTTAGATTTCCACCCAATTGATTGACCGACTAATAACTGACTGACTCTCTAAGGACCACAAAGTCCTCCCCTTTGTTCCAGCCAGGTTACCACAGCCGACGAAAGCTTTCGCCACCACTATCCTTTACAATCCTCGACCCAGATGCCTTGCACCTGCGGTCAACCCACCTGGCTTTCACTCCAGTTTAGAAGCCGGCAAACTAGGGTCTCTAGCCTAGACCTATGGCTATGGCTGTCACTACAGGACTTCACTGCTAATCAGGAGGCATTTAAGGAGATCCCCCATAACTCCTCAGGAATTGTTTAACGTCGCAAACAAGACGACGAGATCAGCAAGTCCTCTCAAGACTTAGACAACCGGTTGTGCAGCCCACAACTCAGATTTTTGGCCAACCATGCCACACTGAGCAGCCCGCCGGTCTGTACCGGTCCTTGGGAGGGTTAGTCCTCCGGGACGTGTCAGTTGTCAGACATGGACAACAGCCCTACTCAGCCCGTGTGGGTTTGGTCAACGCAGCTCTATGACCAGAGTTCCTATCATCTGGACAGAAGAGACTCAATGCAGAACGAAGACAAACAGACTCAGTGAGTACCATGGGGTGAGGGCACATCCATAGGGCGAGGGGATAGGCAGAAGGCTTGGCGAAACTATACCAACTCCAGCTTGGTCAAACTTCAGTCGACGGCCTTGCTCAGCGCTGGTCAACACTACGGTCAACGTTGGCAACCACCTTGGTCAACGTCGTGGTCAACGCCTTAGTCAACGCTGGTCAACACCTCGATCAACGCTCCAGTCAACTTCCGTAAGCTCGGCTATGGCTGCCAACCCCTTCTCCTTCATCAACCTTCACCTTTCTCCTCCTCTCTTCACCTTCACCCTTGGCTATGGCTTCTCTCCTCCGTCGTCTTTTCACCTTCACCCCTGGCTATGGCTTCTTTTCCTTCCTTTGTCTCGCCTTCCTCCTTCACTTTCTTTTTTCTTCCTAACTTCTCGCCCACTTCTAGTTTCCTCCTTCATCTTCCTCTCCGTGTCCGAGCTCGACGGCTACAGCCGCCACCTTCTTCCTTGAACCGCACAACCAATCTTGTATCGCTCCTCTCTCTCTCTCTCTCTCTCTCTCTCTCTCTCTCTCTCTCTCCTTCTTCGTCGCCGTTGTCTGTGCAGGTACACTGCGTCTTCCTGCAGCGGCGCAGCTATGGCAGCTCCTTTGTGACAACGATGATGGCGGGTGGAACAGCGGGAACCAGCTCCGATACCAATGCAATCAGACTCGTCTTCTTCTTACTCAGCATGCATGAAAACAGATGGCAATCACACTGGCGCCGAGCACCCACACAAAGCCCAGAGATATCGTGGCCAGGAACACAGTTCAGAATGCACTCGCTTTGAATGGCTTTGGCGCCTGTGCGCCCTTACAACACCCTTCCACGCTGTATCCTCAGCGTTGTTCACACACATGCTACTCTGGATCTCCCTGGATATCCCACACACACACACACTCATTGTACACTCACTCATACACACGCTGTAGACTACCTCTAACCTATAGCAGCTATGGTTGCATTCTACCTCGACCACTAACTAGCGGCTATGGCCGCTTCGTCTCTCTTCAGCCCACTTCTTCCTCGGGCACCTGCAGACCTCCTTGCACAAGTCGCTCAGGCAGACTTCCGCACGGCTCACAGTCTGAATGAATGAATAATTGGACGCTGCCTCTTAATTTACACTTCAGTTGGTCGCTGGTCTGCTCCTTTCCACTGGGCCTACTGTGTACACAGTCCCACATGGTACTTGCTGACTGGACAAGGTGCGACTGGGACTGGGTACCACTGACTGGACCTGGTAAGTCTACCCACTTGCCCACTTGCCTACGGACTTCTTCCGAGACTCTCGAAGGGGCAGTCCTAGAAGACTCTGGACCTTCCCACTTGCCCTTTTGGTACTGTCGTAGCTATGACTAAGGTTGACCCTTCAGACCTACAGCAGCTACAACCAGACATAGGCTACGACTCCTACCCTACAGATAAGCAGCTCGAACCTACTCAACCCTCGTATGCACATCAGCCTTAAACAGACAACTTTTAGGGGCAGGTCACGGGTTCAAACCTAGATGGGGCAGGTCTAGGGATAGAGCCCTGGGATCTGCATCTGCTACTGCAAAGGTGAAAACCGTTTCACACAGGACCCTCAGACAAAAGTTGTTTGTATTGCATTGCTGTACAAGGGTTTTTTTCTGGAAATTTCTGATCATTTTTTAAAATCAAAATTCCAAAAATTCGAATACAAGATATGTGCGTTGTATTCGAATATAACATGCATGCGTTGTATTCAAATACAACGCCTGTACATTATATTCAAGCATACATTCTATTCGGGAAAAAACAAGCGATTTCTGAAAACCCGATTTTCAGAGGCAATTTTAATAGAACGTACGTACATTTTTTGGGGTTAAGAAGGCCGTGCTGGCGAGGCTGCTGGAGTGTGACGCGCGTGCCAAATACTGCTGGAGGGCGCCAGCTTAGAGGGAGATTATGTTAACGCGGCCATAGCTGCCATAGCCGTAGACTAGGTGCTGGAGATTGGCAAGGAGAAAGATCTCCATGATGGTGAGGAAGAGCGACACCATCCTCCATATCTTATTGCTGATGTGGAAGGACGATGGGCGCCCTGTAATGATCTGCACAGTGATTTTGTCAGAGGACGTCAGAGGGAACATGCATTGCTGAGGTTGCGATAGGGGAGAAGCCCGAAGTGGAAGTGGGAGAGAGAGAGAAACATACAATGTACTATTGATTACTATTGAGACTCCCCTCCTCCTCTTCTGTCTTTCCTCTCCTCTTTCTCTACTCTCACACTCTTCTTTGATCAGATGATGGTCTTGAATTGTGCATATGATGGAGACATGGACTTGTAATTGATTTCAAGGACTTCACGAGGTGCGCTGGGTTCAGACTTCTACTGCGTTGCTGACTGGCTTCTCAACGAGACTGGATTCGACAGATAGACAGATAGATTGTCAACTCATTACATAATGACATAAGCTGGCAGGATGCTCAGCGAGAGACGTCATTCCCTCGCAGCAACCAAGTTTCTTGGGGAGAAACTAGAACTCACCAAAGAGTACATGTGTTTTCACCTCTTACCAATGAGGATGTCTTATGAAGTGCGAGCTAGGAACGAGTTCTCCTAGAGCACAAGGGGGGTCCACACAATACTGTCAAAAGAATAAACAGTATCCAAAAAACAAGAAGAAGATACCTGCGTAGTCCTCTAGAGCACAAGGGGGGTCCACACAATACCGTCAAAAGAATAAACGGTATCCAAACAAGTCAACAGACAAGAAGATACCTGCGTAGTCCTCTTCCCCCTGTTGCACAAAAAGTGAGGACACAAAAATGACAAAGAAGAAAGGGAGGGAGGGAGGGAGGGAGGGAGGGAGGGAGGGATAGATTAGAGAAAAAGAGTAAGCCAAGCATGAATAAAAAGACACAAGACGAGAGGAAAACTTCGTGAAAAAATGAGAAAAGCCAGAGAGTGTACCTTTGATACAGGCCTGTGTCCTGCCCCTGGCGTCTCCCATGCGAGCATCATGTCAAACGTAAGTCTCCGAAGTTCCTTATCTTTCAGAGCATCTGACACTTGCGTGGAAACAGCCAGGGCGCGGAAGCAGCAGTACTCAAGTAGGTTGCGAGCATAGCGTGAAGGATCTTTGGCAGCCATTGAAGCTTCATGCTCAAAATGCAGCCTCAATTCCTCTGCAGTCAAATGAAGTATCCTGCAGACAATAGTCGCCGCCGCCCCAAACACCACCCACCAGAGTGAGAAACTCCCGATTCAATATGCCCCTCATACATTGTCACATAACTATGAACTAAAAGAGCACACTTTGCGAAAGAAACTGCAAAAACAAAAAATTAAAGAACAAGACAAACATGAAGGGCACACTGAAACCATTCATTTTTGAATGATTTTTCTCATTCTTCTTTTAACTCCCCCTTCACCGTGCCTCTCACGTACAAGGCTCGCCACGTTGACAAAGTTGAGCGTGAAAAAGAGGCAGAGTGAAGGGGGAGGGGATAAACACAGGGAGGAGAGATGGAGAGCAGACAAACAAAGAACGATGAAGGGAAAGTAAGGGAAAGTACCATACTTGCGGCGCAGGCCGCAGCGCGCAAGTGGCGCCCGCACGACGCGTGGCGCATGGTCGAAATTGCAGGGTACCAAAAAAAAAAAAAATTGTCGGTTCGGTTTTCAGGGTTCGGGGGGGTCCTAGGAAAATTACGAAAACGGGCGCGAAATTTTTTTTGGAGGCCGCGCGAAGGCCCGTACTTCTTTTTTTTTTTTGAACAGTCTGAACCTGATTCGAAGTCTGGGGGGGGGGAAGTCGGTTCTTTAATTTTGCTGTTGGACTGTCCCTCCAGCCCGCCGTTTTTCCTGGAATTTTTTTTTTAATAAAAAGAAAAAAATGTAAAGGAAGAAAATCAGAATTTCTTTGCATGAGTGTCGCCCGGCGCGTACAACCTGTCAGAACCTCAACGGTAAGTGCAGTCTGTATGGTAGGGTTCTTGCAGGCCAGAATCAGTCATGATGAGGGTCGCGATCTTTCAAAACGATCTCTTCTTTATTACTTCTGAAGTAGAAAACGACGGAACTGACAGCCGTTTTTCCTGGAATTTGTTTTTTTAATAAAAAGAAAAAAACGTAAAGGAAGAACATCAGAAATTCTTTGCACGAGTGAAGCCCGGAACCTCAACGGTAATGTTCACCAACGGGCTCGCTGCACAAGTCTCGACATGCACAACAAGACAAAAATATTGGCGGTGTATCTTTCCATATTCTAGCGCAAGATTCATTCTCGTTTTGCACATTTCCAGAGTAGTGCAGCGAGGCCCATATATGGCAATGTATCTTTCCATGTTCAAGCGGAAGATTCAGTCTCATTT